TTCAGATGCATCTGAAGAAGTGAGGTTCTTACCCACGAAAGCTTATGCTCCCGATACTTCTGTTAGTCTTAAAGGTGCCACAGGACCCTCTGTTACTTTTTATTGAAGTTAATGGAAATCTTTCTACTGGCTTCAGTGGGCTTTTGGATTAGGCTCACCTTTTCTCTCTTGGTAAAACAGAACTGTTGAACAGAATAAGGAAAAGAAAACAAATTAATTTGGAAAAATCCACTCAGAAAATGTAAAATAAGCATTCACAGCAGAGGTGCCCTTTGAAATAAGTATTTTGCCTCTTTTAGAAGACTGAAAACATCCCTGCTGGTGTACAGCCTTATTTATTCTTCCAGTTGATTTTCTCCTCATGTATTTAGTCATTCCTAGTTCAGTTCTACTGTCACTCACACCTATTTTCCACTGGTCAATACAATCAAATTTCTATTCCTCATGTACACCAATGTAAGAGAAGAACCAGCCTTCTGTATTTTAAGTGTTATTTAAAGGCCTGCTCTATACTAACTTCGTAATCACTTTTCAACTTTATTTTTTGAAATCTCAAAGAGCTACAATGTAATGGTAAGAAATTACTTCTGACATAAGGTTTTTAATTATGCATTTATTTTTATAACTTTTTAATGAATAAACTTTTTCTTTCACAGTCCAAAACCCCCCAGATTTAATCTACAATAGACAGCTGATAAAAGCAGAGAACCTTCCTTGTAGCTATTACAGAAGTTTGCTGCCTCAGCAAACTCCAGCTGCTCATTACAGAAACGCTATTCAGGAAGATAAAACATGAGTACTTCTTAGTAACCCCAATATTTCCCAAACATGATATCTAAATTCCATCAGGACTTACTCATATGATTCTCTTGCCTTTGTTTCTGGTGTGTGTGTTTGTTTTTTTACTGGGCCATGATGCCCTAGAATAAAGGGTCATTCCTCATTAACTTCTTGAAAGGAGAACAGTTTTTATTAGTATTAGCATAGCAGGGAGGCTTATTTTTGCAAAACAAACCAATTCTTTTTCCTGTTTCAAGAAACAATATGTTAACAAAAGAACCCCTTTTTCCTGTGGTTATGATTCAGCGTAAGACACCTGGGTCAAATGGCTAATAATTTGTGTGGGTATTTTTTCTTTAATGAAGGATGTTGCAGTGGGGAGTCATGAAGAAGAATGAATAAGTCTTTAAGCAGACCCTCTCCTTATACATAATAATGTATCTTCCTCATCTCTGAACTTTATAATGGTGTTATTGCTTTACCCTGTTATTGAAAAGATAATTGAATAAAGCATTCATGTGGAATTCTCTTCACACCTCCCAGAACATTACTGTGATTGGGAGGTATTGTTCAGTAGACAGAAGGAAGAAAAAAGAAAAGAAGAAAAAGGAAATGTACATTTTATTTTAAGTTCTTAGTTCCTATTCTTTGGCAGAGCATGCAATGGTGGTGGTAGAGATGCCAGGAAGAGGAGAGGTGGGAAACACCTCAGAGTTGTATGGAGAGGACATGGCAGAGACTTCTTAGGACAGTGAAACTGTAGAGATGCGCACTTCAAGCTGTCATTCTCTCTCTGGCCCTTAGACCTTCATACCAAGTGAGGAAACATACCTGAAAAGAGAAGGGGAAATCCAGGATGCCTATGATTATGTGGTGCACTCTAACCAATCTAGAGGTGGTCCCCTAGATCACTCCAGAACCAGAAGAAGGGGATTGGGTGGGCAGACTGATGGTGAGCAGACTGACTGCAACGTGAAACTACAGAACTGGAATTAATTTGCAAACTGGACACCATCAGATTAGGCCTGAATAAAGATTGGGAGTGGTTGGGTCATTATAAAACCTAAACCTAATTTCTCCAATACTAATTTCCCCCTGCTGTTACTCATACCTTCTTGTCAACTGTCTGAAATGGGCCACTCTCATTACCACTTCAAAAATTATTTTTCCTCCCTTGGTATCCTGCTGTTAATTGAATTGTCTCGTTAGACTGACCTCACACTTGATAAGGCAACTCCTATCCTTTCATGTATTTATACCTGCTCCTGTATTTTCCACTACATGCATCAGATGAAGTGGGTTCTAGTCCATGAAAGCTTATGCCCAAATAAATTTGTTAGTCTCTAAGGCGCCACAAGGATTCCTCGTTGTTTTTGCTGATACAGACTAACATGGCTACCACTCTGAAACCCAAAGTTAGAGGTGATAAAAAATTTTCATTTTAAAAATAAGATTAAAAAATGACTATTTTTCTAAAAATATTTTTGTTCATTTTCAAAATTAAAAAAATTGTGAAAATGTTTGCAAGGAAAACCTAACATTTTTCAATTCTTTTGAAATTTTTTCACAAAAAATGTGTACCATTCTCTAGCCCTCTCTACCCAGAGTCTTCCATACACCTGAAGAGGGTAGGGATGGGGTCAAATATAAAGGAATCTCTCATAGTAGAAGCTTCACTCACCTCTTCCAGAAAGCGTGGGAAACAGAATGCTGCTTGTGAGTCTACTTTGGAGGGGAGGTTGGGCTGCTTCATGTCACCTTATTGTGCATCAGACAAAAAATGGTCTGTGACTAGAAGATAAAGCTTTTATATGCTGTTGGGAATTGCAAATTTTAGAATGAGCGATTCTTAGTCCTAATCCTGACAGTGTGTTAAGAGCATAGGTAATTATCCAATAGAAAAATAATGTCATTATTCCCTGATATATGACCTCATTCAGTTTCTACTCATTAGCCCTCTTCCCTTGTCTGTTAACATTTTCTCTTTGTTGGCGAGTATCAAGTCTAAAATAGACTCCTCTCTTGTTGCCTAGGAAATTATCACTCTCTAAAGAGCTGAAAGCTACTTTTTGCTGGTTTTCTTGGAGAGATGTCCCCTAAAAATATTTCGTTTGTGTTTTGCAGGCCAGGAAAAGTAATAGTTATGCTGCACCTACGTACAGTACATATGCCTTCAAATTAGTACATATGCCTTCACAGTGTTCAAAATAACATTTTTTGCAGAGTATTCATACAAAAGGAAATAAAATAGGAAAGCTGCATTAAAATGACTTTATAGAGCAGTCTTATATGTGATAGAACAGCAATAAGTACCGTAGATATACCTATCAAAATAGAGTTAAATAAATGGGAATCTCTGTGTTAAGGCTGAAGCTCTGGCCATACTGTGCTTTTAGGTAGCTGCACATTGCTTAGCACAAGCTCAGGTGGGGCTCTGAGTGCTGCTATAATACAAATAATAATGAATAAAGGATAGGTGAAATCACTCTCCATTCAGAGAATACCTAAGGAAATGGTGCAGATCACAGACTGTTTCAGCCTCAACTATACACTTGTGATTGTGTCATTTTAATCCACTTTTCATTGTTGATTAAGAAATAATTCAGTGGTTGCACTGAACAGTATAAGGCCAGAGTCAGCCCTGGTACAAGCAACTAATCGCCTATGAAGAGTTGCGCTTGCTTATTCCGGGAATGAATTAGGTCTGTTGTCTTCAAATTTATATTGGTGTCTCAAGCTCCAAGGGTTATTTTGTTTTTCTTAAATGCTAATGTCAGATGAAAACAGATGTTTATATGGCTTTTCTTTAACCTTCATATATTTGATTGCTGAAAAATACCACAAAAATATTTCAGGAATAATTTGTTTTTTCTTTTCAGATCATGCCAAGATAATCTCTTCTCTGTTCCACTACTGGATTACAGATATCCTTCCCGTGAAGAACAGGAAATAAGGCATGTGTGTGTGTCCATCTGTGCAGAGTTAAAATTTAATATACAAACTGTAAGCTGAATAGCGAATGTTCAGAAATAGCAGTGTACATGCTGTATATTCAGCAAGGTAAATGAGGTATTTTTCATATCATTGACTTCCTCCAAAAGACAATGGGCAATATAAAAGTACTTTGATTTTGTATTTTGGTTGGTTGGGAACATCTTACATATGAGCATGCATCAACCAAATCATTTAACATAGACCCTGTGCAAACAGATGCAGCTTTTTGCCGGATTAGGGACATATAGGATGGTTTCTGGTGCTCAAACCCTTTTGATTCAAGAGTTACATTAAACTGAAATGTTTATTGGTAATTTCTTTCTAGAAAGTGTGGTTCTTAGCTATTATTGTTTACAGAGTGTCAGAATGTATTCTAGGTGGAATTTATAATACCACCTATTGGTAAGGTAGCCCAAACTTCCTATATAAGACCCTTTTTTTAGTTGTGTTTAATTTTGCCAAACTTTAATAATTTGAGCTGAAATTTTCCATGCTGAGTGACTGCCGCAGGCTGACTTTTTTGGAAAGTTCAGCCACAACAGTTCCGCTGTTTTTGAGAAAGACAAAAAGGAAAATAAAGTTGTTTTTAAAACTTTGAGAAATCTCTTTTCTAACTATGCTGTTTTATTAAAAAAGTAAATAATTTAAAATTGCATATATAATTATAAATGTATTTAAAAAAAAATTCTGATGATCTTTTCTTTAGAAAGCTCTAGTAAGTTCCTCCATGCACTGTAGCAGGGACTTGAAATTTAGCAAGGGCTGGCATTTGTGTCAGGGATGTGTCTCTTGTGGTCATTGTGAAAATCTGTCCATATCTGGCAAAGTTATAAATAAAGCACATGCTCAGTAGAGATTTTCTAGAGTTTAATAGCTACCATCTCCAAAGATTCCATCTCCTCACAGTTCCTGTGTGTGACTGGTCTGTGCCTGCTCCCTCCAGCCCAGAACTACAGGGTGAAGTCTGACTTTCCCTGTAATGGCTATTCTGGGCAAGAGTGGAGCTGGGTACCAGAAGTGAGCGCAGGGAACCTCTCTCTCCTGTGCCCTTAATAACCCCCATATTGGCACACAGGCTGGGAGTGAAGAGGGAGACTGGGACCCAACATAAGGAATATGAAGGGATGGGACTAGGACTTACCAGTGCAACTTTCATTCAGCCCCCTTATGCATATACATTATGATAGTCTTTAATTACATGATCACATACTGTTTTTTCCACAGGATCCCACCTCATTCAGTGCACGGGATGGACCCCTCTGGGGATCAATCAAGGTGGTTTTGCAGAAGTGGGAAGATGTGCAGTGAAGGAAGCAGGGTATTGTTGAAAGAGAAAGGATTGCCTCCTGGTTAAGGCAGCTGAATGCTGCCTTGGAGAACTGGATTTTTTACTGCCTCTGCCACAGAGTTCTTATGCTAGGCAAGTCACTTAAATCAAACTTTTCACAGGTGGTCACTAATTTCGTTCTTCGTTTTCTGTTTACCTGACTTGAGAGGCTGGGGTCTGTTTTGCAGAAATGTTGAGTACTCACAGCTCCAAACATCCGCAGAGCTACTTCATTGTCCTTCAAATCCCTCCATAAAACTCTTCTTTCCTGTGAGGCCTACAAACTTGACAGTTTAATTATGCTGACCAAAATTATCTAATTGTTTCCTTGTACTCCCCTGTCGGTCTGTCTGCTCCATTGATTAACTCTTGTTGCATACTTACATTGTAAGCTCTTTGGGGCAGGGACTTTCTTTTCTGTGTTTGCACAGTGCCCAGCACAATGAAGTTCAAGTCCATGACGAGCTCCTAAGCACTATTGCAATACATATAATGATGGTGATAAGTGAATGTATAAAGTGCTATACAATGCTAAGCACCTGGAAAAGTCAGGCACTGGGTATCTCAGATTGGGCACCCAAAATCAGTTGACGCTTCTGACCTTGATCTCCTGTGCCTCAGTTCCCCACACCTTCACATCACAAGGGTGTTGTGAACATTCGTGAATGTTTGTGAAGTAGTTGGATGCTATAGTGAGAAGCACCATAGAAAAGGAAATTAATAATTATTTTTTCAGAGCAGGGTTTGAATAGTGCGCAGCAAATAAGGCAGGTATTGCACCGCACATTGAAAAACGAGGAGAAAACAAAATATTGAATAGCTGCTCATTAAGTGAGCACTGTCCATCCTGTGCACTGAATGAGGCAGGGGTACTAAGCACAATATACTTCGTGTTCATGTAATTAAAAACTATATAATAAAGAACATGCACAAAGGGGCCAAATTAAGGTTGCATGAGCAAGCAGCTTTAATTTGGCTGCTTGCACTTTGGCAGCACAAAGGAAAGGAGAATTAGTCAGTGCTGCTGGCAGCACACCCCAGGCATGTTGGGACTGGATGGGGTGTGGTCCATAGTTCCTATCCATTCACTAACATTCTGTTGCTGGCAAGACAGGCCCGTTACAGTGTAAGAGGGTGGAGATCACTAAGTGATTCATAGAATCATAGAATATCAGAGTTGGAAGGGACCTCAAGAGGTCATCTAGTCCAACCCCCTGCTCAAAGCAGGACCAATTCCCAGCTAAATCATCCCACTGATTGGAAGGGGTTGAGATGTATAATAGAAATGGTTTCATATCCATTCCTCCCAGTGCTGGGACCTATTTTATTGTATTGTTCCAGATGGAAGAACGTTGTATTAATAATGGTAGAACATTGATTAATGTAGTTGATCTTCCACAAACATCTTCTCTGTACTGTAATATTCATTTTTAATTACCGTATATACTCATTCATAAGCCGAATTTATTTTAGTAA